AGAAGGTAAAATGTAGTCTTCTAAAACTGATAATAGGACTTATATCTTACAATAATTTTTCATATATCATCCTCAACGTCAACCAATAATTTTTCATATCATACCAAACGGCAACCAATAATTTTTCATATCATACTAAACGACAACCAATAATTTTTCATATCATACTAAACATCAGCCAATAATTTTTCATATCATACTAAACGTCAACCAATAATTTTCCATATCATACTAAGCGTTAAACAATAATTCTTCATATCATACTAAGCGTTAAACAATAATTCTTCATATCATACCAAACGACAACCAATAATTTTTCATATCATACTAAACGACAACCAATAATTTTTCATATAATACTAAACATCAGCCAATAATTTTTCATATCATACTAAACGTCAACCAATAATTTTCCATAACATACTAAGCGTTAAACAATAATTCTTCATATCATACTCAGCGTTAACAATAAACAATAAGCTAGTCTTCTAAAAACATACAAAACTGATAACAGGAATTATATCTTGGCAATTCCCTGAGCCATCATGAAAAATAGAGCCAATGCTTCCAGCTATAGCTAACAAACAACACCAACGAATAAGAACGTTAGCTACGTTGCGGCGTCACTCAGCCAGAAAGTATAGGTTTATACACTTATTTCAAAAAACGTTGTCGGCGAGAACGGCGAGCGGCGAATGGAGAATGCACGACCGAAAGGGAATATGGTTACGCTGTTTGACATACAAAAAATTCAATTTTAAAAATTCATTTTTACTTGAGTGAAAATGGAGATTAAATGGAGCCAATGATGACCATAGAATATCTTACGGTAAAAATCAGTTATCATTTCACATCAATTAGCAAAACCCATGACTCCTTTCGGTCGTACAATCGCCGTTTGGCAATTTCCATTCGCCATTTATCCGACAACCTTTTTTGAAATAGGTACATCTCGCCAAGGAAAATGCACTATTTGGCTCGATACACTAACCTTTATGACCTAAACCAATGTCCTAAGATATGCTCTTACGCAAATAAATGTTTTGGAATAGCAAAAGGGCTCGAATCCCAAAGAATTAGCTCCATTTTGGCCATATTATGGTCACTAGTTATAGATTACACTTTACTATAACGAAACATAACGGGAATCTGTATTCAACGAAACGAAATGAGTTTAGCTCTCTAGTATAAAATATTTTTTTGACAAATCTGTTTAATTAAGAGTAAASACAATAAACAWCACGTRCRGCAATGCAAACGTGACTCAATCTGGCCAGCTATCGAGCTTGCGGTAAATGCCAGATACATAAATATTTTATTTGGAGCTTTGCACACAAAGGTACAAAAACTGAATTCCAAACAAGATAAGAATAGATAAATACGACATACTTGTGTCAGAGTAGTAAAAAGAATATAAATAAATAATTTAAAGGCTATAAAATCTCATTGTTCACCTCTACGGGAGGGGGGACACCATAATAAAAAAAGGCGGGGGTCCTCGTCGTCCCTTTTAGGTTTGAATTCAGTCTTTTGGTTCCGCTTAAAGTTATAATAACGAGAATTCCCATCAACTGAGTTTTGTTGTCCCTTTTAGAGTATACGACGACCCTAAGCCGTCATCATAAGATCAACAACAACCACAACTGCTTATCAGATGATTATAAAAAGGCAAGCGATTTGTATATGACAACGTCGTCATAAAATCAACACGAGTCGACAGCGTTTGATGCTTGTGCAACACAAATAAAATCGGGAAACCAAAACAAAATGACATGTTATTGATTGGTCCCTCTTAGGAGTGAAATTTCAGCACTGCCACGCCCATCATCTTACAACACAGATCCCGTCTAGGGTTCATTCTCAGAATTTCCGACGAGGACCCCACCCCTATTATAAGGGAGTAACCCCCCCGACCCCACCCCCCCGGCTTCCTGATAGTCTCTTTATGACCTTTTTTTTTATTTTAGTTTTTAATTGTTTAATTATAGTTACCCACGCAGTCGACACACATTTTGCTATAATCGACAATACGGAACGAAACCTCTCACCTCCCCTCTAAGTTATCCCTCACGTTGAAAAAATGAACAATCTGTAAAATTTCCATTCAAATAATATTTCTGAATAAAGGATAACTGATCTAGTAAGCTGTGTGGGTAACTATAATCGCCGAAATGGAGCTAATTCTTTGAGATTCGAGACGTTTCGTTATTCCAAAACATTCATTTGTGTAAGAGTATGGATTAAGACATTGTTTTAATTGGGTTATAAAGGTTGGTGTTAATAAAGACTATCATGGTGAACGATGAGGTTAGATAGCCTTTATACCGCAAGCTCCTTGGCTAGCTAGATAGAGTCACGTTTGCATTACCGTACGTGTTGTTTACTGTATCAACTCTATTTTTAAACGATTTGTCAAAAAATGTTGTATACTATAGATCTCAACTCCTTTCTTTTCGTTGAATACAGATTCCCGTTATGTTTCGTTATAGTAAAAATGATGGGAACTCAAAGGTAAACTAGTGTGAGCTGCGTCGGTGTTTTTAAAGAAACAGTTTTGTAAAAAGATAAATTTAAAACCGTGAAAAAGTAGGTGAAATAACTTACTGACGTTTCGAACGTTAATTCTTCGTCAGAGTAAAGAGAGGATTAACGTCCGAAACGTCAGTAAGTTATTTCACCTACTTTTTTACGGTGTAAATTAGTTATCTTATTACACAACTGTTTCGTTATAGTAAGCAAACACATGCAAGTTTCAACACGTAGCACGAGTCATCCTTGCTGGTCTAGTTCCAAATAATTGTTGGGACGTGTTAGGCTCAAAACGTTTGTGTTTTTTTTCTTGATGCTGTGCCAATATAATACCTTATAAGAAAGGTCACCATTCAGTGTTGCACAACTTGTGGCTGGCCGACACTCGGGATATTGCAGCACTTGGATAATAAGTAAGTGGATGTGTTTCTTAAGCATTTATAATAGTACATATTGACAGTGCTCGTGACTACTACTAAAAAATGAGGTTCAGTAGTCGAACTCAAAAAAAATGTTTATTTGTTAAACTTTTTTCGCTTTATGCTTTGAAATAACATCAACATTTGCAGCATACCATTAAAAATCAAATAGGATTTACCTTAATTAATAATCAAATAGTAATTTAATATCTTTTTAAAATGTTTTCAGTCCGGTTTTGGACACATTTTACCTAACAAAAAGTACATAATTGTTCTATTTTGTCTAGGCCTCAACAAGAAGCATGGTAAAACTCGTAACAATACTCCTAGTCGCTATTCTATTGCTTGGTCCAGCTTGGTCCAAAGCAAGCGTTGTAAGTTATCTGAAACCGAAATAGTGTTATCATTGACATAGTATTATTCACATAGTCATAATCTGATTACGTGCATCGATCTAATACTGTATTTCTTTGATCCTTCCCAGTCCTCTATCAGGTCAAAAATAGCTCAAGTGGCCAACAATAAAGTAGGCTCAACACACTGGTCCTATGCATCATCCTGCTGCCATGGAACAAACACAAACAAATGTAACTATTTTGTGTACGACGTAGGAAAAGAAGCAGGAGCCAAAATGCCAACTCGTTACTTTGGTTTTGGTGGACCCGTTGGTGCAGGTAAACCGTTTCATCATTTTCTAAATTTATAGCTTTTAACGAGACTTGCCAGCTAGCGTATGCAGTTAATTTTATCTTTTTGAAAAACAATGCTATTCTTGAAATGAAGGGCAAACGAGGACTATCAGCAGACCTCTGAAGCTTTTACTTCATATATCGTATAGGCAATGCATTATAGGATACGTTTGGGACAGAACATGGCGGATTTCTTTTGTTTTCTCTTGAAACTGATCCCACAATGCATTGAAAATCAAGTAGTAACGTAGAAGGTTCAGTCGGATTTACGATTTTTTACACGATTTGAAAACAAAAAGTATCATGAAATAATACATAGAAAGTTATTACTGAACGCAAACTTATTTCCAACTTTTAGGAGCAGGCGGTTGGGGAAAAGCCTTATCACTCAACTACTGGTCCAAGGTGAGCTCGAGACAAGCAGGGGACATCGTTGCTGGACATAAAAGTGGAACGTACCATGTAGGAATCTACGTTGGCAGTAATATGGTTGTGTCAGCCAACAGCCAAAATATTGGAAAGAACTCGAATATGTTTACACAGGGCTACCAAGATCTTGTCTATTGGCGCTACCAAGGCTGAAGCATGCGCAGAAGCTTCACATTTCCTGTACTTGATTTGATCTATTCATAAACATAAGTTCTAGTTGTATAAGTAGAATATCGTTGATTTTGTTAGAAGGGGGCTATAGATTAACATTGTACTGGCAATATGCATGATTGCTGGGTAAAATTGTAGGTGTGTCACACTGTACGCATTAAAACGTACACGT